GAATTGGGATCTGCGGTAAGTTCTTTCCTTGCGAGCGCAACACGTCCAGACGTTTAAACGCCGCGCGTATGTGCTTGCAGGCGCCACCACGATGTGTAAAGTCGCCACAGGAACAGCTCGTGGCACCGTCGATTTCCATCGTCACCGTGTAGACAGTGGGCATTTCCTCGACATCTAAAGCGAAGGCGGAGTGGCACTGGAAGGTAAGTCGTGTGGCTGATTCATTGAAATCGAGGTCTGGAACCCCGATCTGATTGCGTTCGAATAGTGCGGCGGCGGCGGTGTCTCGAACCTCGTCAGGGACGAGCCAGGCTATGCTGGGTGCTTGGAGGATTGTGGTCCCGCGGCTCTCGATGAGATGATTCGCACCCGCGTGTCGCAATCTTGCTTCCCAGGCGAGTCGTTGCTTCTCGTCCAGGCTCCTCTGTTGGTAGATTGACGGCAGGACTTTGGTAATTAGGAGATTTGTGAGGACATCAAGGCGAAGACGGCGGCCGTTCCGCTGCCAACGACGTAGGTGTTTGTTCTTCAGAAGATTGTTGAATGATTCGAGGTGGTTCGTAGTCGGTAAGACCCAGTCGAACGTGCAGCCCAGAATACCCGCTGCAATGTTTCGACCGTGGTCAGACCAAGACTTCCATATCTCGACCGTATCGACCCAGTGAGCTGACAAGTAGTCCAGGTGTGCGATACCACCATCGGCCGCAAATGTCGCGGTGGGATCGAGGGTTTTGAGTCGCTCCAGAGTAGCGCGCTCAGCGGCAACAAGTTGGCGAGCGTCCTCGTGTACCTTTGTACGTATCAGCTCGTCTTCCAGCCGTGAAAGCCGAATGCGAACCTCGCCAACGCCCGTAGCTGGTGAGTTTGCCTTGAGTGACTGGCCACGATGATTCTTCCAAGCCTGACGAAGGTGAAACTTGCAGAGAAGAAGCCAGATGTTAGGGAAGACCTCGAGGAGCGCATTGCGCTCTTTGAGGTCCGTGTCGGTTATTGCAACGGGCGAGTGGAAGGCAGTTCCGTTGCGAACACCTAGGGACGACTTCCATTTCGAGAGAAGTTCAGTGAGTATCGCGGTGTCGTATCCGGCCGGAGTGAATTTGTTCCCTGATGGTGCGGAGAACATCAGAAAGGCGAGTGGCACACCCTTCCTCTGCTCGTCTAGACCCATGAGAATGAACAGTAGGATCTTGCTGTTACAGACTCCGAATGTACCATCAAGAAGGATCTGCTGATTGTGTCCGTATCTCCAAGCAGCCTCTTTCATCTCCGGTGTGGCGATACAGATTTTCAGGCGCTCTTCGGTCGCCGCACGAGCCGAGTAGAAGAAGACGGCCTCGGCGAGGGTTGAGTTGTAATCGGGAGACGATGGGTTGAGCCAGGAATCGATATTGCGGTGAGGCTTCTCATTTACATCAACGCCTTCTTTGCGCTGAGCCTGGCGGTAAAGTGAGCGCGAATCCGTTCTCTTGAGCAGCCAGCGATAGTTCGAATAGGCCCAATCTGCCTTCTGTCCAGGGTACAAACAATCTAGCACGTACTTCCGGTTCTTTTCCATGATATCGGACCAAGTCGAGCCATCACGAAGCTGATCCAGCGCGACCTTGTAGACGGCGGGGTGAACGGGGTGTGTAGGCTTGTTCTCCATCGTCGCCAATCGACACGCTTCGTTATGATCAAGGAAACCACGAATACGCAGAACCTTAGACGATGGGAGCTCATAGGTCACTTCGGCATGACCAAGACAGCCGGTGTACGGGAAGGTAATACGCCGCTGTTTGGTACCCGTGCTTGATTCGTCGTAGCCGCACTTGCTGAACCATTGCCATAGCCATTTAGGAATGATAAGAAAGCGATTATATGTTCATGGAGTCAAGTATGGACGAACCACTGATATAACACCCTCTCCGACAAGCCTCCCTTCCTCTTCCCAGTCTGATCCTTCCACTGCATGCTCCAACGACCGGGTATGTCTCCTCGTGCATGCTCATCTAATCCAAGAGCCTCAATCTGACACTTCGCCTCCTCTTGCTCAGCAGCACTTCCGGGAGAATAAAGCTGGTCTTGTATCTTCCCAGCTTGGTATAGTGCAGCAATTGAGAGAGCCTGCTCGTAGGATGTAACGAGCTGTTGTAAAGGGATTTCGGTAGCCAGAGCACGCGCGGATAGTCCCTGAGTCTTTTCGCCGTTCGCTTCAGCGCCCGAGTACATGACGAACTTCCCTCGATTGGATTTCTTGGTGGTAGTAACATGCTAATTACATCAGGATTGCTCCCCAGTAAGCAGGTGCTCAGTGGACGAGACTTGTCAGACGGAAACCTTACTGATTGCGGGACACTGACGCCTCCTTTCGGCCCGCCAAATTTACTCGGTGAAGAGTTGACGAATGTGCTTTCGGATGGGGTCGGGGTATTGGAAGGCAAGGCTGACTGGAATGACTGGTCGGGGGCCATTATTTCTGGGATATATGAGCAGAGAATTGTGTATGCAAAGGGCAGTCGACACCTAGAAATTTGATATATCATAGCACGCAGTCGTAGCATCGATTGACAGCTTGGCGGCCCCGATGGTACATCCATTGACTAGGCAGGACAACTGGAAAGTCACTGAATTGTATTAAGTACTATATATAAGTCATGGCTCTTTATCATGTACACAGGTATGTAATGTATGTAGCAGCTACTCCGACACAGTATGTGAAGAGATGAAGACAACAGACCAACCACGACGGGGACTTGGACGGATTTTGCGTCCCAAGTCGACGCGCGGCGGAGTTGCGGCCACGTGTGCCACGCCGAGCCGCGTTCGTGGTCCGTTCCCAGAAAGGAAGGTAGCTGGGGCGGCTTCTTCTCCCCACTTACTGCAGAGTTATGACTTTAGTTATTTCACCAGCCAGCGGGCCGCAGGGGGCCGGATTCCGCGCCTCGGTTCCGCGCCTCTGCGTCCCGTTTAGGCAGGTAGTTTTCCAACTGTATAATAGACCGGTAAGCGCCGGAGCGCGTCCTTTTAACTTGTGGGAAGTGTCCTTGTCTCTTTATCATTGACAGTGACGCTTCTCACAGGTGAGTCTTACTATAGATTTTGTCTCTTTCTTTTTCTATTACTTTGTGAGGGCAATATCATTGACAGTGACGCTTCTCACAGTCGTTCTTCGAGTGCTCGATTATCTGCGCATCACATGACATGCATAGATAAAAACTTGAGAAGTGTTGAGGAGAGAGAGCCAATGATGAATGCG